CTGTGCGCGGGGGCAAAGGAGCAAAGTCACACGGGCGGCGGGGTCCCTCCGCCTGTGCGGCTTTGCTCGGGTCTCCCTGGTCTGCTGGGGGGGAGGGGGTGCAGCTAGTGCACCCTCCCCCCAGCAGACCAGGCTTTTGTTGCAGGACGCCTCGGGTAGAGCAGCTGGGGTGCTGCCGGGTTGGTCCTGTGGGAACCTACCGGGCAGCGCCCCAGCTGTTCTGTCCCAGGCTCCAGATTCAGCAGCTGTTGAAACTGATCAGGCTGATTCCAGGAAGCTGGGGGCAGAGCAACTCTGCCTCCGGCTTCCTGTAGTCAGCCCCTGGTCAGTTTCAGTGGCAGCAGCTGAATCTGGAGCCAGTTCCGACTTACATACAAATTCAACTTAAGAACAAACCTATAGTCCCTATCTTGTACGTAACCCGGGGACTGCCTGTATAGAAGTCTTTTGCTCTTGAAAAGTAGCATTTACTTTTATGTTGTAATATAACAGTCTAGAAATAAGATATTTACTAAATTCTAAGGTGAGACAATTAATTCATAGTACACATTTCACTTATTTTATTTTTATCAGCCACCATTTGCCATATACTGTTAGATGTAAAGCAGAATATTATTTTAATAAAGAGTGCTTATAAAATGTGAAATCACTCAACAAATTTCAAATAGTTTAATTATCATCGGTGTACAACATAACGCCTATTGAGTGCAGGCTTTATTTTTATTAGTAATTGTTTTCAAATTGTCTTGGTATTCTGTAGTGTTACATTGGCTGTTGTAGACTTTTTGATTCCTTAGTTCATACTGACATCTGGTGGTAACAGGCAAGAGAAAAATGGTACTTTTATAGCTAACTGTTGCTAAAGATTTTAAATTAATTGTGGTGGGCAGGAGGGATTTAATTTAAAATAAAGCAAAAGTTTTCATTTTGAATGTCATTATTGCTGTGTTTTCTGAGGATCAAATCACGCCGTCTCCATCATAAAAACTTTGGTCAGTTGGAAAGAGGACTAAGAAAATGGGGGTCATGTTAAGGAGTTCCATGTGGGTCCCCTTTCCACCAGAATTTCTCTGAAACCCCAGTTCAGCCCTGCACCTCACCCCCAGAGCTCCAGCTATTGCAGGTGGCACAGAGGAGAATTGGCAAAGTGAGTGGAAGGGGGTAGCATGGTGCTGCAGGGCAAGATGGGGCTGAAATTTTCAAAGGATCTGAGGAAGATTAAATACCCAATTTCCTTTGAAAATCCTAGGCTCCGAGCCTGGTCTTACACATTTTCAAGGTGTTTCCTCGAGGTTGTATTATTTTTCCAGCACTGATTGGGACAATCCTGACCTTTTTAGATTAAATCGCGATCACAAGCAGACTTGTGAAATGGATTGGTCTGATAAGGTCGAAACGTACAACATTGATGACAAATGTGGACGATACAATAATCAGAGCACCAACATCCAGTTCCATCCCAGCTCATCAAAGTTCGAGGAAAGGTGAGGACTTGTTGTTATTGACCTGCACAAGGAAAGCCATTGAGATGTAAAGGATCCTCTGTATCAAGTACCACCACACTATTTTTGAACAGAAGTATATTCTCTATATCAATAAATATATACTATGTTTGCAAACATATCAATTCTTAGGAATAATTTATTATAAATGTTGGGGTCATTCAAAACCCAATGCAAATCAAGGCAAAGGCACAATTAGATTGAATTACAAAGGCCCTGGGTTGGTTGGTGAAAGGAAAGTTGCACTTTCTTCTAGAGTATACAATTTTATTACAAAGCTATTACGGAGTTTCAACCTGTAATCTGGACTTCTCCTGTCCGGCAAGACCCCTGGTCCAACATCGTCGGAGTGACCCCGTGGAAGCACTCATGGGGATAAGCTGGCGATCTGGGGCCAGGAGTGTTGCCAGAGTAGGGGATCGAGACAGCAGAGCTCCGGGTGACAGCAGAGCTGGAAGGCAGAGCATGGAGCCCCCAGTCACTGGGGGTAGGGCAGGCAGAGCAGCGAAGCCATCAGGCAGAGTGCAGAGTCCTGGGCAGCAGCAGGGCCCTCTTGGCAGTAGCCAAGTCATTGTGGGGAGTGTGCGGAGCAGCGGGGCAGGGAGGGGGGAAACGGAGCCCCCTGGCGACAGCGGGACAGCCAGGAGGAAAAGCGGAGTTCCCAGCTCATAGACCTCCACTGGTCTGGCAAATTCCTTGGTTCAGGACCGATCAGGTCCTCAAGGTGTCAGACGAGGGAGATTCAACCTGTATAAATGTTGCTTTTTTTATCCTGCCACTATTCCTGAAGTTTGCAGACTGCTCTATAATTCCTTCCAGTGCTCAACAGATGGCAAAGTATTACCACAGAACCGTAGTTCAAGCTGCTTTGTAAATAACATAGACATAGATTGTAAAGCTTAATCAACTAGACATCCTAGTGTGTATGTACCAATGTCTTACCAATATTTGCCCTCTTGACATACTTAAGGTGTAGAAGTGATTCTTATTTTGGGGTTTGCCTTTATTCCTATTTACTAAAGGGGATTGGACTTCTGATGGTTCTGTTTTGTGTCTCTCTCCCTGTTCCACAAGTAAGGGGATGGAGAAGAGTTCTCCAACCTACTCTTCCCCCCTGTTTTGGGTATGGTAGCACGACAGGATGCATGTCATCGCAGGAAACGGAACTCTTCTGCTTTAGCGTTTCTTTTCCATTGCAACTTGAACAAAGTCTGCCCAGAGAGTGATTTCTGTGCTGTCCCTTCCAGTGCCTCAACACCCGAAACCTGGGCAAAATTCAGCCATGACAACATCTATAGGGCGGAGCGAGAGCGCCTGGCTTCCATCAACCTCCGTTTATTGATCGACAATATCCTTCACGACACAGCTGAGGATCTGCATTTGCAGTGTGCTGCCGTTAATGAGGCTTTTGCTAAGCGCTGCGAAGAGATGGAAGATGCAAAACACAAATTGGAACATCATTTGAAAAAAGTATGGGCACCCCGTAATGTGTTGGCCAAGCTGCTTCCGTTAGTTTTCACACATATTGAAATAATCACCGCAGAGTGATCAAGAAAGAAGAATTGCTTGGTCCATTCACAGCAGTCAGTGCCAGTTTAGTATCCGATAGGGTTTCCAGTTGTGGATTATGTCCTCAATTCACCAGTGCACCTAAGCACATGCTTATGTTTAAGTGGGTGTTTAAGTTCCCTTATTTCACTAAATCATGGTGGACTTAAAATACATGCTCAAACTTAAGTACGTGCTTAAGAGCTTTGCTGAATCCGGGCCTGCACCCTGCTCTGGCAAGGACCTGATCGTTATGATTTATTAGGTGTTTCTCACTAGCCGAGATGTAAAGTACTAGGTCAATATTCATCTCAGCTGTAAGCCCACTGAAGTCAGTGGAATTAACCCGAGGTGGATTTCTCCCACCGTATCAAGATTTGAACAATGTACACACTATCTCGCTGTACATACAAGACATATGCACATGCACCATAGCCTCCTATTTGAAAGCTATTAATGGGGGGGATGTTTCAAAATGCTATTGGAGACAGTGTAAAAAGCTTTGGATCCCATGGAAGGACAGCTCTGGATTAGGAAAGGTCAGAGGGGAGGGGAGAAATGGTAAAATGATTATGAACAAATCACTCCTAAATAGAAGCATCTACAGTCTGCATTATGGTGCGTCTCCCCTAACTAACTAGTCTAATGTACTCCTCCGAATATTTTTACAGTGATTGTACCTTTTCAAGGGAAGATTACAAGAGAGGTTGGACCTTCCTGGTCTAGCACTTTTGGGACCTTATTGGTCCCAAACCAGGGAGTTTGCTAGACCAGAAGAGCTCAATTCTGGTCCCCTGCTGCTGGCCTCCAGGCTTTCCTGGGGAGCTGCCAGGCTCCCGGTGGCTGGACCACCTTCCCAGCTTCCAGGCTCCTTTCCTGGCCACTCTCCCAGCCTCTGACACTCTCCTCCCCCTCCCCCTCCGCTCCACTCCCACCCACTGGCCATTCTGTTGTTGAATGCCCGGGTTGTCCCCTCTCCCAGCTGCTGCAGGCCACCATGGATGTTGTCAGATCAGGGAGATCTGTACCTGTAGTCAATATCATGTCCATAACTGCCAAGAACCACTATTGCTTCCCAAGATTATTATTTTGAATATTAGAAGACTTGCCCAGGATTGGCCAGATCCTTGAGGGTAGGGGGATGGCAAGGTGGGGGAGGGGTGCAGGAGACCGGGCAGGGCCTTAGGAATTGTGGTGGGGGCAGGAGGCTGGGGCGTGGGAGGTGCAGGAGTCAGGGTGGGTGCTGAGGAAGGGCTTGGGAACAGGGTTCAGGATGTGAGGGGATGTGAATGTGAGGGTTGGGGGGGAGGAAGGGCTCAGGGCGGGTCTCCCCTCCCCCACCTCTCTAGTCAGTAGGGGCCTTCTTTTCTCTCCTCCCTCTCCCCCCGCAATTGCCTCTAGCCAGTATGGGTCTTCCCCCACCCTCCCTAGCCAGCAGGGGGTCTTCTTTCTCCTCTCAAGCCCTCCTGGCCAGCAGGGTCTTTCCCCTGCCCTAGTTCTGTAGTCAAGAGCCGGGGGAGGGAAAAGAGTTTGGGGCGGGGGGCTATTGACACAGTCTGATGGCAGGCAAAATGGCAAGCCCCAGCCCTGCTGGCCGCTCTCTTGGTGGTGCAGCTGCCCCCAGTGATAAGTCTGCAGTATAGCTCTCAGCATCGTGTCCCTCCTCTCTGTGCCCCCTCCCTTTCCATAGTATGGAAAACAGTCCCACTCTGTGCACTTCCCATTTTCCTGGCACAGCCAAACCCTGCCCTTGTGTTAAGCTGGTAGAAGAGGAAGCTGCCTACCAAATATAGTGGTCCTAGCTCTTACCATGGAGGAGGAATTCTTGAACAAACTCACAGACAACTGATGCACATTTCTAACATACATGGGTAGATGATTATACTTTTAATAAGTAAGCATTTTGCTTTACTCTGTGCATTGTAAATGTATTACCTGTGGTGTGTGGGTACAACCCACACACTTTCTGGGTGTTATGCACTGTCCCATCTCGTTGCACTAAGACCACTCACAGAGAGAATAATGAGTCTGCTCTGCTGCCCTAGCTAAGAGGCTTTTAGCTTATGCACTAAAGCGCCAGAGGTCCCAGGTTCAGTTCCACAGCATTACATACGGTCAATAGCATGGGTATGGCACTTGTTTTCTAAGGGTGCTATTGCAGTTCTATATGCATTAATGTCCATTTCCATTTTGTTTTTTCTTCTTAAAACTCCAAACAAGGAGCAGGTGCAACAAACCGACATTCAGCAACTCACAGCTGAATATTCAGGGAAAATATGTAATAGCCTCTAAAAAACTAGAAATGTAAATTCAGAGGTCTTGTTTCTACTCTCATTTACACTGATTTAATTCTGGTGTAATGCCATCAAAGTCAATGGAGTTCAGTGTTTGTAAAGGAGATGAGTATCAGTAGTTCACACTTTTTCATAGTAATCCCAGTGTCACTAATGCCAGAAATCGGTGAACATAAGGGTAGGTAATCTTTTAAATCTAATTCAAAATAGCCTGTCACTTGTTGAGTAATTTACATTAATTGCTGTGCCAGAAATGATTCACTGAGATGGATTGTGCCATGAACAGGTTCTGATGAGAATACAAGCAGACTGTAATATTTAATCAGCTGCAAAAATTCTTCCGCTTCTTTTTAAAACGGACATCAGATTTTCCAGTCTGCTCAGGGTAGTGTCAGAAATAAGGAGACAAAAGAGCTTTGTGCAACCTCTGCACTTCCCATTCTGGCCTCAACTAGAGGTCACTTCCCATTCTGGCAAGAGTCAAACCACCACTGATTCCTTAGGCACATGAAGAGGCCCCATCATTTAATGTCGGTAAAGTGCTATACACACGAATCTACTATATACGTTAGAGAATCATAGAACATTAGAAGTGGAAGGGACCTTGAGAGGTCATCGAGTCCAGTCTCCTGCCCTCATGGCAGGACCAAACACCATCTTGATTATCCCTGATAGATGTATGTCTAACCTTCTCTTAAATATCTCCAGTGATGGAAATTCCACAGTCTCCCTGGGCAATTTATCCCAGTGTTTAACCACCCTGACAGTTAGGAAGTTTTTCCTGATGTCCAACCTAAACCTCCCTTGCTGCAGTTAAAGCCCATTGCTTCTTGTCTAGAGAGTTTGTTTGTCTGTGTGTTTGTTCAAGAACGCCTGCTAAATGCTAAGAGCTGGGACCACTACATTTGGTATATAGCTTCCTCTTACATTAAGGGTATATCTACACTGCATACTTATTTCAAAATAAGCTATTCCAGAATAGTTATTCCAAAATAGCTTATTTTGAAATAGCAACGCTACATTGCAAAATTAGCCTGCGGCAGGCTTCCCTAATGTAGACGTGCTATCTCGATTTAGAGCCCCAGGAGGCACTGGGGAGGAATAACTTAGAATGGCCCTGGTGAGGGTCTATTTTGAAATAGCAGCAGTGGAGCATCTACACGCGCTTTATTTCAAAATACCTACTTTGGAATAGGTGTTATTCCTTGTAGAATGAGGTTTACAGATTTCAGAATAAGCGATCTGTTATTCTGAAATTTCAAAATAACACAATGGCTGTGTAGATGCTTGCATTATTATTTCAAAATAACGCTTGTTATCTCGAAATAACAGTGTAGCGTAGATGCACCCTAACAATCTTAAAGCAACATAATGGTTTGGTTGTGCCAGGAAATTGAGATGTGTCTGGAATGGGATTGCTTCTCATAAAACCAAACAGAACAGAGACGGAACCATCAAATCAAGTACAGTCCTCATAACTGAGCAAATGTTGAAAGAGATTGAACCAAAATAAGCCAGAAAAATAGCATGAACCTTCAATAGGATTGCTTCTCAATAAACCTTACAGAAAAGAGATAAAATAGAGAAATCTGGAGTAGTGTTCTGTTCTGGCACAGCTAAATCAATGCTTAAGGTGTGAAAACTAGAAAAAAACCCGCATAACCTAGAGCCATTTTTTGTTAAAACATAGCAAATGATAAGCGTTTCTAGGGATGAAGAAAAAAATATACTTGATGGAATTCCCATTTTAAAAAAATTACCAAAAAACAAATGGAAATATTTGAACAATACATTTTTAAGAATCCGAAGTAAAAATTAACTTTATGTTGAAAAATATAATAATTTAAATAAAGTGGGTACACTTTCCTAACATTTCCCTCTCTCCGCCCCCCAAAAAATTGAATGAAGGACCTGAGCAACACCAGGTAAATGTGCTAGTAGTACTGTATAAATTAAATGTATTGTCTTAAACTTGTCTTGTTTCATGCACATTCTCTTCAAACAGACCCTCAAGGAAATTGGAGATCAAGAAAACAACATTGCTGCTCTCAAACAAGCGATTAAGGACAAAGAAGCGCCAATGAAAGTGGCTCAGACACGGCTGTATGACCGATCTTTCAGGCCCAATGTTGAGCTCTGCAGAGATCCAGCACAATTCAGGTAAACACATTAAAGAGAGAGTCCTTAAAGACCCCAGTAATATCAAAGACAGTTTTAGATCATGTCTGCCTGAGACATACAGTGTCTAAGAAAGAAATGTTTTACCTGCTCACCACAACATGCTAACGTGATGGGTGTATCATTGAAATATCCGTTATCGAGCCACCGCTGTACTAAAAGTTTGCCATTTAGTTTTGTAGCATGTGACCTTCAACTCCTAGTTAGGGGTGGTTTGATTCCAATACCTTTCGCTGATATATATGGGATGTTACACCACTGCAATCAGTGTAAACAAGATCTGATCTGGGTCCAACCTGTTTATAAATAGGGAATCCATAAACATGGCTTTCTCTTTGAGCAGCGGGGTTCTGTACTTATTCGGCTGATCCAAAAGAACATGACAGGTTGTAGATAATTTGCAGCCCGGGCACTCTTGGCAGAGGTTCACTGTGAGGTGGATGATGCGGTGAATCAATTATGCCTCAAGCCCTGTGAATGTAAACGGACCATGCATTTCCACAAGCTGAGAAAACTCATCAGCTCCTCCAAAGAACACGCCGATGGCATTCGATTTTCAGTAATAATCCATTTAAAAACCGGAGGGCAATAAATCCTTTCAAATTAAAGGTCGGAATGTAATTTGTTACTCTTGATCTCATTATAGTGCTTGTAATTGATTCTCCCACATTTGTGGGTTTTTTTCTTGCCCGCAGAAAAAAGTGTGACTAGCTTTCCCAGCTGTTGATAGCAAAACCATACACCAACATGCTGCTTCTCTCCTCTGTAGAGTAATGCGATAGTTTTACTTCATTCACATGCTTTATGCCACCTTGGGTACATTCATTTAGGCCCCAATTCAGCAAACCATCCCTGTTCAGAGCTCTCAGACATGAGTATTGCCTAGAATAGGATATAAGGCCATGCTCGAGTGTTCTGCTGAATAGAGATGTATTTAGTTGTTTTGCTGAAATGGGGCTTTGTATTATATTACTTTACTCCTCTTCACTCAATACATATGCCTTATATAGAGTCCCCTTTTCCCATGAAATGAACATTTTGGAGAACTTCTGTGAACTTTAAATGAAAGTTGTACACCTAACAGCCTTTTTTATCGACAAGGAGTCCTGTAACACAGTATAGATCAACAGATGTATTGGAGCATAAGCTTTCCTGGGCAAAGACCCACTTCGTCAGATGCATGAAGTGGGTCTTTGCCCACGAAAGCTTATGCTCCAATACATCTGTTAGTCTATAAGGTGCTACAGGACTCCTTGTCACTTTTGCAGATCCAGATTAACACGGCTACCCCTCCGATACTCAACAGCTTTTTTTATGGCTTTGGAAATCTTCTACATTCATTCTAAAAATAAACTAAGGACCATGTTCTGCTTCAGCTCATCTAATGACATGGGTTTAACCCATGAAAGCTCTTAATACTACATACTTTGTTAGTCTAGACTACATTCCTCTTTCGAAAGAGGAATACAAATGAGGGAAATCAAAAATGCAAATGAAGCATTGATTTACAAATCTCACATTTCATTTGCATAATCTCTTCTGATCGCTTTTTCAGAAGAGATTTTTTCAGAGAAAAAAAAAGCAGTCCAGACGGGGGGCTTTCGGGGGGAAAAAACCCCCAAAACAAACCCAAAACCCTTTTTCAAAAGAACCCTTATTCCTGAAAATAATGGGGTTTACAGGGTTCTTTTGAAAAAGGGTATTTTTTTCTGAAAGAACCCCGTCTAAACTGCTTTTTTTTTTCGAAAAAATCTCTTCCGGAAGAGATTATGCAAATGAAGCACGAGATTTGTAAATCAGCACTTCATTTGCATTTTCGATTTCCCTCATTTGCATTCATCTTTCGAAAGAGGAATGTAGTCTAGATGCACCCTTAGTCCTGGTCTACACTAAGGATTTATTTCGCAATAGCCCCCTCTTAGGTTGAATTAATAAGCAGAACCTCCACACTACCAAGCCCATTATTTTGAAATAAGAGGCCATTTACTTCAAAATCTGTACTTCTGCTTTCCTCAAGGAATAATGCTAATTTCGAAATAATTCTGAAATAGGAGTAGCGGGGACAATTTGGTGCCACTATTTCAAAATAATTACTCCCCAGAATAATTCAAAATAATTACTCCCTAGTGCTTCATGGGGCTCTTAGGGTAAGTCTAGACTACAGGCTTCTGTCGACAAAGAGCGTCTAGACTACATTGAGTTCTGTTGACAAAGCAAGCTGCTTTGTTGACATGGTAGTGTGGACGCAAAGGACAGTTTACATGCAATAACACCTTCTGTTGACAGAATTCTGTCGACAGAAGGCGTTATGCCTCGTAAAATGAGGTTTACCAGCGTCGACAAAACTGCTGAGTTCTGTCAACGTTATGTCGACAGAACTCAGCGGTAGTGTGGACGCAGGTATAGTTTTGTCGACAAAAGTCCACTTTTGTCGACAAAACTCTGTAGTCTAGACACACCCTTAGTGAGTAGCAAGTCCACATTAACAGAACCTGCCTCACACTAATTTTCAAGGCTTCCCCAAAATGAGGACACGCTATTTCAATTTTGTTATTTTGGAAGTCATTAAACAAATGTAGTTATTTTGAAATAGTTTCCTACTGTAGATGTGCCCGAAGGTGCCACAGGACCACTCATTGTTTTTTAAACTTACATCAGTGTACAGATGGAGTAATGCCATTGGCTTCAGTAGTTCCTCCAGTTGTACACCAGCGAACAGAGGTAAAAATCCCAGCTTACATGAATGTTCAGCCAGTCAAAAATCAATGAATCGTCTATCCCATCTTTAACCCTTCAGTTGTTAACACAGGAGGCTTGCAGAATGGAATAGTTTCTATGACAAAGAATCATTCTTTTGTGACTCTTCCGGATGAGGAATGGTTATCTTGGTGTTTGTTGAGCATATTTTTTATAACCTAAAGTTTAGGAGACCTTTATAATTGCAGTGGTTTTGAAATTATTCCGAGCTTTGTGTTTATTGGAAGAGACTTCATCCACAGCTCAGCGAGCAGCTTCCGTTTATAACCCTATTGCTCTAAATCTTGATCACCCATCAGGCCCAACTACCAGACTAAGAGGGTGTCTCTAAACAGCAGGGCTTAACTCGAAATAAGCTATGCAAATTGAGCTATGTCAATTGCGTAGCTTATTTCCAAATAGCTTATTTCGAAATTGGGAGCGTCTACACAGCACTTAATTCAAAATAGAGCATTCTTTCTCTGACTTCCTTTACTCCTCTACAATAGTAATAGAGAAGTAGCCGTGTTAGTCTGATGTTGCTAAAACAAAAGGAAAAACTATGTAGCACTTTAAAGACTAACAAGATGGTTTAAGAGATCATGAGCTTTCGTGGGTTACAGGAGTCGGAGTAAGAAGTCCTCCAGTTTGACATTATTTCGAAGTAACTGCCTGATGTGTCGATGCGGACTAAGTTATTTCAAAATAACGCTACTTATTCTGAAATAATGTTGCTGTGTAGACGTACTCTAACAGTTGTGCAGACTAACACCTAATTACGGTGCTGTTGAATTTCAGAAGAACAAAGACTACTCACCACAGAATTATAACAGCTCATGTGCCTTTGGGGACTTCCTCTAATTCTGATTGCTTCTTTCATTCTATTCAGGTTGATCAGTGAAGTTGAAGAACTGACAGAGTCTATTGAGTCTCTGAAGCAGAAACTACTGGAAGCCGAACAGTCTCTGAGGAACTTAGAAGACACACGGATGAGTCTAGAGAAGGAGATAGCTGTGAAATCGAACAGCATTTTTATTGACCGGCAGAAATGCATGGCCCATCGCACGCGATACCCTGTTGTTCTTAAACTAGCAGGTTACCAGTAGTCACACTTGCTGTATTAACTATGTGAAGATTGGTAGGAAATCATAGATTAAGATATTTAATTTTATAATAAGTTTGCAATGTTATATTCAATAAGAAACATAATTTGCTGTTAATTTCCTTTAATTACATAAAAATACAGAAGTATAACATAATGGCTGGCTGTGGTGCTTGTATTTGCATTCCACGTAAAATTTTCTTTATGCTTGCATAGTTCATACAGTATGTGATGCTTCAGGTCTCTTTTCCTAAAATCCGATGAATGAACATGGAGGTTTGGGTATTTCTAGCTTTATTGTTTTCAAGCTGCCTTACAAATAAGTATGTTTTGGGAAATTAAAGAATACACACTTCCGTAAGGAAATAGTTTAAACAGATTTTAGTTTCAAGCTGTCCTAGGGTTAAGAAAGCAAAATTGTAGTTTGCACACTCAGGTGACAATTTGAATCATAACTACAAATAGCAAACCCGTGATACCAGATGTATAAGCAGGTATTGAATGAAAAGATTTTAAACAAACAATCCAGTTTACTTCTAAAGAGAAGCAAAATGGCTTGTGAACAGGGAATACTCCTTTTTCTCAATGCCTCTATCAAACTGCCAAGAAGCAACCTTTGATCTTTTAATTCTGCTCCCTTGGACTTCAGCGGAAGTAGTGTATGTGTGTAGCTAATGAAATGTAGCCCATGATGGGCAATCAAAGGACACATCCATTCCATCAGTCTCAATGGAGCCTTGCAACGTACATTATTCATCCATCAGGTTACGGGTGCTGCTCTGCTGGATTTGTGATGTACAGGATAAAAGGGGTGAGATGAAATGGACGTCCATTAAGGCAAATTAATTGTCTTCTACATTACATTTTTTTATTTTTAAAAAGGTTATTTAGAAACCCTGTAACTCTGTCACCGTCACTACATTGCTCTGCCTTATTACTCTATGTATGAAAGTACATTCATGTAACTATTTGCCTCTCTAACAGGTGTTTTTCATCTGTTATGTTGACACAGGAGGTGGCTATTGGCTTTGGACTGTTAGCATCCTGAAATAAAAACCTACCACTGTTTCTCTTAAAAGAACTACATCAGTAAAGCATAGTCTGCCCATGGCTTTGATTGCTCCAGTTGTTTTGCATTCATGACTTTTTTAAAACATTCTCCTTGCAGTGATCATATTTTTATAGCCTGAATCATAATCATTAGAAGTAGAAGTGGTATAACACAAACTAGAAAGAGTTTGTCTACCGTGTACCTCTAAACATAGGCATCTAAAGCAATATATTACAGAAAGAAATACTTTGGGTACATATATACAGTACTGCACAATTATTTCAAAATAAGCCATTCTGGAATAGTTATTCCGAAATAGCTTATTTCAAAACAGCACGTCTACACTGCAGGGAAGCCTCAAAAGTAGTCTGAGACAGGCTTCCCTAATGTACCTGTGCAATCTCGATTTAAAGCCCCAGGAGGCACTGGGAAGGAATAACTTAGCCCCTCACCAGAGCCTTTCTATTTCGAAATAGCAGAAGTGGAGCATCTACACTCACTTCATTCAGAAATAACTATTTTGGAATAGGTGTTATTCCTCGTAGAATGAGGTTTACCGATTTTGGAATAAGCTGTCCGTTATTTCGAAATAATTTCGAAATAACAGAATGGCTGTGTAGACTCTCGCATTGTTATTTCATAGAACCATAGAGCTGGAAGAGACCTCAGGAGGTCATCAAGTCCAGCCCCCTACCCAAGGCAGGACCAATCCCAACTAGTAACGCTAGTTATCTCAAAATAACGGTGCAGTGTAGCCGCACCCATTGGTGGCAAGCTCATGAGTTGTCCCTTTCTCATTCATTAGGTTCTAAGTCCTTCCATCTGCCTGAAGACCTAAGAGAAGTTTTGAAGCTAGACAAGAGTTGCTTCACCATTAAAATTCTAGAATTTTAACTTTGTTCCATGTTTCATTCCAAAGGACCACATGACCCCTGTGTGATTATGATTTGTGTGTTCCGAATCAATGCTTTATAGAAAAGGAATAAAATCAAATGGAACTCTAGAAGGTTTCAGCCTCTAGGACAGTTAAAAGATCATTTAATTTAGTGGAGGACTGTGAATGACACAGTGAGTGATAGAATGAATGATTGTATTTAAAATTAAATAATTAGTCAAAGCAAGCAGGCATTACAATATCACCATGCGCTCCATTTATATTCACATTCCAAAATGAAATGGTGCATCCCAAGTTGATTGGTTGCTGGATGAGAAGAATGGCTATATAATGCTTTCTCTAATGGCACCTTGAGGGTGGATGAGCAGCGCTAATCTAAAATGAGCCTGCTACGATAATCGGTTGTAATAACATCCCTTAATTAATTAGCATTAAACCTCCCTTTTACCATATCTGTATTGCCACTTCTATACTCAAATATTTTTACTATCTCATTGGCTGTTTAATAATAAACATCATCTAAATTAATGATGGGTGAATATCATTCCAATAATTACCCAAGTAGACGTCTAAAAACCGTGTTAAAACCAAAATGTGTTTACAACAATGACCTGGGGTTATTTTCTAACTTGCCTCTGAATTACTTCACTTCACTCATATTTTACAAGGCCTATTATTATCAAGCCTAAGTGTAGGGAGGTTTAAATGTGGAGTTAATGATGCAGCAGGACTCAAAATTAATGCAGACTAGGCCACCCTGTATGTGGAGGTTGTGGCAGGGTCATAACTGGATAAAGATTTTAAAAATAATATGCAAGTTTTAAACTGTCCTATTTGGATCTGAAAGCACAGACTTAATATTGCATTGCTATTGTTTTTTCATTAGACTGGGATACAGATGAAATACACAGTTTTCTTTTCTAAACCAGAATGCAGAAGACAAGTATCTTTATGCCCTGCGGTGGATGTAGATGGAGTTTTCACTTGCTAAAGCCTAATAGTTTAATTTACCTTTGTGAACCAATTATTCAACACTTACTTCAAACTCAGCTGGATAATCTTATTCCAGTAAATGGAACACATCGGCAACACTTTAATCACTGTCATATTCACATGCTAATGGTTGAATACATGCAAGTGCTAGAAGCATGAACCATGTGTACAAGAGCTTCAGTTTTCCTAATTACTGATTTTCTTTTTACATACTAATGAGAGCCACTGTTCCACGAGTGTAAATGCAGGTTTACATTTCCCTCAGCAGTTCTATGCAGTCCAAGGCCTCGCCTTTATAATAAAAAAAAAGTTTGTGTCAACTAACGAAGTAAGGCAGGGAACATATTGCCAGAGTAGTTATAACACCAATAACTATTGTTACAATTATCCATTAGTACAGCTTAAAACCACCACATGATACATTTCAGTTTTGCACGGTTTCACAGGTCACAAATAAAACCATAACAACAGCACTGCGGCAGACTTTTAAAATGTGGACGTGGGTCCTAAGGAGAGGTTGTCTGTCCAATCTAAGCACTTTCAAAAATAAAAGTAGGTGCCTATCTGTATCTTTAGGTGCCTAAATACCTTTTACAATCAGGACCATTATTATTACTAATCCCCGATCCTGCCTATACCATGAATATTCAAGATTACAATATGTGGTTTGAAATGTGTTTTAAACTAGAACACCAAAGAAGAGATCTGAAGGCAGGAAGATATTCACTTAGTTATTACACAGTGAATCACCTGGAATGGAACCACAATGATTAAGTAGCCTTCACGAAGAGGGGACGTGTTTATGCAATGTTCTGCTTCATAATTGCAGGGTGGTTTCTGGGTTCTCCTGGTCCTTTCAAGTACAATTACATCTTGAATGTCTGTCTCAAGAGTAATAAGGATTAAAACAACATTTATCCCCATGTAAAATGCTTATTAATTGCACATTTCTCCGTGAGAAGGAAAATGCGGCTTATCCACAAGCTGTAACTGGTACCAAGAATACATAGTGGGCCAATTGCAGAGAGTTCATTGCTTAGCATCATAATATCATTATTGTTCTCTGCTCTTGTTGATCATGGCAGACAGCATGCGTTGGAGTCTGATGCTGGATGTTAGTGATAGAAACACATGCAGAGACACAGGCAACAAATCTCAGTTATTCCATACCTCTCCTGGGGGCCATCTTTGTACTCTCTCTAGTCTAGGTCCACACAAGTGGCTGGCCAACCCACTGGAAGTTGGGAAATGGAGTCATAGAATCATAGAACACTAGAACTGGAAGGGACCTTGTGAGGTCATCAAGTCCAGTCCCCTGCCCTCATGGCAGGACCGAGCACCGTCTAGACCAGGGGTCTCCAACCTTTTTAAGCATAAGAGCAATTTTTGAATTTTAGTGCAATCCAGGATCTACCTCAAACTCAAACACCCTTGCCCATCTCCTTCTCACCCCTTCTCTGAGGCCCCGCCCCTGCTCACTCCATCCTCACTCCTCCTTCTCCTCACTCACTTTTATCAGGCTTGGGTAGGGGTTCAGGGTGTAGGAGGGGTTCAGGATTGGGGCCGGGGTTCAGAATGCAGGCTCCAGCTGGGCACCGCTTACCACAGATGGCTATTGGGTGGTGGTGCAGGGGGCTAAGGCAGGCTCACCCCTACCTACTTTTCCCCCGCAACACTCCCAAAAGCAGTCAGCAAACTCTCTCCATCCATGCCCCTTCTGCTCTATGGAGATGGGGTACAAGATAGAGGGAGGGGCACCCTGACATCAGCACCCCCTCCTCTTCTTCCCATACCCTGCACAGCAAGCAGGGGGCACCCAGGGGTGAGGGGTACCTCCAAGGCAGAGGGCAGGAACAGCATGGCAGTGCTGAGAGAGGCAGATGAAGGGCCAGCAGTTGATAGCATCCCAGCCAAACCTCTCAGGGTCACCTGTCAAAGGTTCCAAGATCTACCAGTAGATCCCGATCTATTGGTTGGTGACCACTGTTCTAGACCATTCCTGACAGGTGGTTGTCTAACCTGCTCTTAAATATATTCCCCAATGAAGATTCCACAACCTCCCTAGGCAATTTATTCCAGTGTTTAACCCCCCTGACAGGAAGTTTTTCCTAACGTCCAACCTAAACCTCCTTTGCTGCAATTAAACCCAGTGCTTCTTATCATGTGTTTGCCCACTTTAGGCCTAATCAATTTTCTTCGTTATAAAATTTCAGACAGAATTATTGTCACATCATTTCTGATCATGCATTTATGCCAGATAATAAATAGATAAGAAGGAAGCTCTAGGGAGCCAAATTACTAAGTTTCAGGGTACTGCTGAGGTCTTCTCCAATTCATGATCATCATCTGTCTCTACTCTGGCCCTTCAGTCTCATTCCTTCAGTTTTCTGTCTGGTATTTCTTTGAGTTGGGCCATCATTCACTTGGTTCTTATACATTTCCACATTACATAGTCATTAGCTTCCCCCAGGTGAACATAATCTAGCATTACACATACTCAGTTATCCAAATGTTCATGATTAGTTTTTCATCCACCAGTCTACGTTATTATTAATTATCTACATGCCCTCATTGAACTAACCGCACCTAGGCCTTATTGTCTATTATTCAGCAATTTTCTTCATGTCTGTACATGGTTCATCATAAATTAATAATTAATGAAACTCTTATTTTCTATTTGAGTAAGAAAGTCACAGGGGTTACTATGTCCATCATGTCTGTGTGTTTTCATCTTTTCCAAACATGGGCTTTTAGGGGACTTTTTCTCACAGCCTGAGCATCCTGTTGGTAAATGCTTAAAAAGTCTTGTTAGTGAATTCGCTTTTGCGTTTTGAAGTATTTCATTCAACTTTAGGGCCCAAGTATTTAATTGGTCCGCAGTATTCCGGTGTAATTTGGAGCAGCCATCTCAGCGAATGATTAAATTTGACTTGCTGCTCTTGGGTCATCAGCATGTTTGTCCTTCGTGACTATCCATACAGCCAGTGATATTCAATGGAAATATCCATTAACCTTGAAAGTTTCTTGAAATTTCACTGATTCTTGAAAATTAGCAATGGCTTGGCTGCTGAAACCAGTGCCTGTCATGTTGACCAATAGTGTTGTATCCTTTTATTGAACTCTTCCCCCGCAAACACATCAATATTTCTGTATTCCTCCGTTGTCTCTTGTCGTATATATAGATTGTAAGTGTTTGGGGGCAGGGGTTGTCTTTTTGTTGCGTGTTTGTACAGAACCTTACGAGTAGGGATACAAGCTGCTATGGATGATAACAAAAAAACCAACAAACAACATTTGTACCGAAAAAGTAATCCATTATTTGCTCCTTTTCATTCACTATATGCCTGTCAGAAAGTTGTCTTGATGCAATTCACAGTTCGAAAAGATTCGATGTGACCAATTGTCCACCAGTC